GATCTGATTCCTCTGCATACCATCAAGTGAAATCCATGTGTATAGCCTGCATTTATGTTCCTTATAAAATGTATTTGCCATGATTAAGTCGTTGATTGTGCAAAATTCTATCATTCTATTTCTGGCATCATTTGGAGCCCATATTCTCTGTGAGGCCACATATCATGGAGGAAGGTAAATCTCAGTCCTCCTCAGCAAGCTTGATCCACACCTACCTTGCTGCTGCCCAGTGGGACAACCAAATAACAAGGACACAGCAGGCGCCTTGGCGACATAGTTAAGCATTTGGTTACTAACTAGGTGGTTGGCTGTTCAAAACTTACCAACTACTCCTTGGAAGAAAAATGCAGCAATCGTCTTTGTAAAGAGGTATAATCTGGAAACCCAATGGGGTAGTTGTACTCTGTTCTGTAGCATTGCTGTTAGATGAAATTTATCAGTTCCATCTTTTTTTTTTTAGTTGCTTTGAGAGGAGTATGTTCTTCAGTCACCTGTAATGGATAAGTTATTGTGTGAAATATCATGAGGAATAAGAAATGAAACTTGCTATCTGACTTCCAGCCGTGCGCTGCCTCACTAATGACATGAGGTGACACACAGCCAGGGAGCTCAATAGCAATATGGTATGCTATATTATGTTAGCACTGAGTGCCAGAGTGAGTGGTAATAAAGCATGGGGAAGAGGGGAGAAAGATAATAACGATGTTTTATTGAGTGCACCCTATATGCCAAGAACTGTTCTCATAACCCTGGAGGTTGGTATTTTTATTAACTTCATTTTCAGACAGGGTATGAAAAGATAGTGTGTGTGGGGGGGGAATAGTCGTAGTTCATACTGTTTAGTAAGTAGCAGAGGCAGATCGTCAGAGCCTGTGCACATAAGCACGTCACCATACTGCCCCTGTCTAGGCACCAGTGGACATCTAGCCCCACAGCCACATCCCCATGCTGCCCTGTGTGGGCACCATACCAAACACCAGCCTGTAGGTCCCTTGTGTTGTCTCTGTGGTAATTGTGGTAACTGTTAACTTCCCACTTTTCACTTATAAGTTCGAACTTCTCCTCCTCAGCTCTTTCCTGTGTACTTACTCACTTATTACTTAATTATTTTGTATAACATCTCGCATTTTCAGCAGCTTAGAAATCTGTCAGGTGACACCTCTGATGATCCAGGCCCTATAAAAGGCCAGGCCCAGGCATAGGGTGAGTTCATTTGTCACCGCACAGAGGAGATACCAGAGGTTAGTTCATCAGTAACAACCGGGCAGCATCAGAGACCAGAGCCAGCCGTCTCTGTGATAGGATACCTTTTCCATTTGTCTGAGACATCTTGGCCAGCCACAGAGAGTGCTGGGTGACATTAGGACGACTCAAGCCACAGGTAAGCAAGGGCTTGAAGAAGCCAGGGAGACCAAAGAGAGGTAGGAAGGGAGGCAAGGGAAGGGGATCGTCTGGAGTTGTGTAAAAAGTAACTTGTTTTATAAACATTAGTACAAGGCTGGTCTCTATAAGGCAGAGGTTAAAAATGTCTGAACTACTGTATGTACCACCCTTACCATTTCTGACATTAATTATTTCTCCTCCCCTGGGTCCTCTCACTTCCATCTGTGCTGCTGCATTCTGTAATTTGCTAGAAGGTCTCACAGTAACTAAAAACCGTCAGAAATGACTCACACAGCTGTAGATGGTGTATATTTATGCATGTGGTTGCAGATGCTGGTGAACGGGTGGGCCAGGCACTTGCAGGCTGAAGCTGTCGGGACAGCTGGATCAGGTTAGATGCAGTGTTCTGAGTGAACAAAAAGAAAGAGACTTTAAAATTGGAGCAAGGTCTATGTCTTTGTAACACTAAAGCAAGGAAAAACTAGTGTCTATGAAGCACTCATTCCCTTCCAGGACTGGAAGTTAAAATGAGCTGACAAGTATGCTCACTCATAGTGACCACCTGGGTCCCAGTGAATGGGAGTATGCAGCAGTAAAGAAACAGGCTGTGTTCCATCAGCACTGTTGACCTAGCATGCACAGATACATAGCTAAATGAAGACTTAGCCTAACTGAGGGGCTAAGGGTGAGAGGTGTAGGGAACACCTGGTCTGAAATGTAGAAGACATGTGGAGCCCCTAAGTTTGTGGCTATGCCCATTTGACCTGATAATAATGGCTAGGGCTGGGTTGACCAGAACCCAACCAGGTGGAGCAAAGATGTTTCATGTTGTGAGATTGTATAGATTGCTACAATCTGCTTTCTGGCTTCCTCTGGACTACTGTTGTTACTGTTTTTAATTCTTTCTCTGATTAGTCAGAGAAAGGAACATGCTTGTTTCTTTAGTACTATAGTGAACTTAATGGCATCTGATATCATTTGTGAATTATCTGCTCAACATACAGATTGAATAGGTAAGGAGAAAGAATACAACCCTGACAGACTCTTCCTAATCTTAAACCAGTGTTCCCTTGCTCTATTTGCACAACTACTTCTTAGTCTACGTATAGATTCTGTATGAACACAATTAAATGTTCTGGGATTTCCATTCTTCTCAATGTGAGACATAATTTGTTATGATCCACAGAGTCAAATGCCTTTGCATAGTCAAAAAAAAAAACACCACAAATAGACATTCTTCTGGTATTTTCTGCTTTTAACCAGGATCTGTCTGACATCAGCAGTGATAACCTGGTGCTGTGGCCTCTTTCTAAAACCAGCTTGTCCTTCTAGTAGTTTTCTGTTTAGGTATTTTTGAATGATCTTCAACAATATGAGATGCTAATATTGTCCAATACTTTCCACATTCTGATGGATCAGCTTTCTTGGGAATGGATCTCTTCCAGACAGTTGGCCAGGTTGCTATCCTCTAAATTTCTTGGCGTAAACTGGAGAGCACATCCATGGCTGCACCTTTTAGTTGAAACATGCCAATTGGAATTCCATCAATTCCTGGGACCTTATTTTTTGCTAGTGCCTTCGATGCGGCTTAAACGTCATCTTTCATCACTGTTGGCTCTGGTTCAAATGGTACTTCCTGAAATTAGTCGATATCAACTAATTCCTTTTGGTATAGCACTTTTGTGTATTCCTTCCATCTTCTTTTGGTGCTTCCTGGATCATTTAAGCTTTTGCTCATAGCATCTTTCAGTATGGCAATTTGAGGTTCAAGTCCCCCTCCCCCATTTTTTTTCAGCTTGAGTAATACTGAGCAAGGTTTTGGCTTTTTTTCCCCCTTTTTCTGACTCTAGCTCGTTGCATAATTCTTTATATTTTGCTTTATTCTTCATTTATGGTTTTTATTCTTTACTCTGTTAGTATCTAGTTTTGTATTTTGTTTCTTGTGAGCTGCCCTCTGAAATCTTCTGTTCAGCTCATTTACTACGCCATCTTCCTCCCTTTTTTTTCTGCTTTTTGACATTCTAATACAATTTTCATAGTCTCTTCTGACATCCATTTTGTTTTTTTCTTTCTCCTTCATAGTTCCTCTGGTCTTCAATATTGGTGTTCAGGGCTGCAAACCTATTCTTGAGATGACTAAATTCAGCTGGAATAGATTCAAATAGAATTGATTCAAGGTTGTATTTTTGCTCCTGTGGAGTAGTTTTCTTCAGCTTCAGTTTAAACTTGCAGATGATTAACTGATGGTCTGTTCCACAATTGCACCTGGTCTGGTTTTGAATGCAGCTATTGTGTAACTCCTACACAATTCCTCAAATATAGTCAGTCCAAATACTATACAATCCTTCAGGTGAAGTCCATGTAAAGTCACCATTTGTGCTTTTTTAAAAAAAAAATTCGCTGTGAATAAATCACTGACTGCACAAAACTCATTTGATATCTGGCCTTATTTCTGTCACCAGGTCCATACTTTTCTACTGCCATTCCTTCACCATTGTTTCCAACTTTTGCGTTCCAGTCCCCAATAATTACTAATGCATCTTGTTTGTATGTAAATTTTGGACTGCAAAAATTGGTAGAAACTCTTAAACTCCTCTTTGACTTTAGTTGTTAGTTCATATATTTAAATAATGGTTGTATTAACAGATCTTCCTAGTATGTGTATGCGTAGTACCCTATCACTCACACATGGTACTAAAGAATGAATCTTGAAATTGTCTTCTTAGCTATTAAAGCAATACCATTCTTCCCCAGTTTTTCATTCTCAGCTCAGCAGATCATGTGACTGTCTGATTCATAGTGGTCCATGTTTATCCGTCTCAGTTCACTGACACCTAGAATGTCAGTTTATGTATCATCCTTGAACTGGGGCCATGCTAATCTTCTCTGTATTGTTGCACTTTTAGTACATGTGCTGCCAAAGTGAGCAATAGAATGTCAGTTTACATACGTTCTATTTCCTTTTTTACAACTTCCATTTTTTCTACATTTGTATTTTGCACATTCCATGTTTATGTTATTAATGGCTGTTTGTAGCCATTGTTGCTAATTTTGAGTGTCATCCTATCTGAGCTCTACATTTAATACTATAATTTCCCACATTTCTCTGTTCATAGCGTTTTAGCTTTTACAGGCCTGTTCTTTCAGAAGTGCATGGCCAGTCTTTCTTTCTAGTCTGTCATAATCTTGCTCTTTGCAGCCTTTCCACAATGGGTGACCCTTCTGGTACCTGAGACACTTGTGATGGGCAAATAAAGAATTAATTTTAGAAAACATAATGCATGAGAATGATTGTATGAAACACAACATGAATGAAGAATGTATACGAACTTTGTAAGCAAACCAATAAAAAAAATTCATTCAAAAAACCAAAAACAAACAAAAAGAATTGGGTTTCTAGGACAGGAGACTTAGAGGCATAAGGCAGGCAGTAGCTGGCTTACAAACTTTCATAAATGTGGTTTCTAACTTGATGCCAGTAAGTGAATGCTTTTTAGCCCTGGACAAAGAGGCCTGTTTGCATTTTCATGACTTAGTGAATGGTAAAAACAAATTGCGTTCTTCCCTAATACTTGTCCCCACATATTCTTACTTAAAGTCCCTCTTTTTTTAAATAGGAAAATATATTCATGGATCGATCGAGGATGCCTCCAAAGACACCAATAAAAAATGAACCAATTGATTTATCGAAGCAAAAATTCTTCACCCCCGAAAGACATCCCATTACTCCGGTTAAACTTGTTGATCGACAGCAGGTAGAACCATGGACACCCACAGCCAACCTCAAGATGCTCATTAGTGCGGCCAGCCCTGACATAAGGGACCGTGAAAAGAAAAAGGAACTGTTCAGACCCATCAAGAACAAGGATAATGCATTTACAGACTCACTGCAGGTAAGGGAGCTGGGGTCCTAGAACTCATAGAGTTTAATTGTTAAGCCATAAACGTAGTAAACAATGTCTTTTCTAAAAAAATTATAGCTGAATTGGAATATACATTCTCTCATTTTTCATGATTAATACTTTCTTTTGTTACAACCTTCACCAGTTTATATTTTTAATCTTTTTTTTCATGTAGTTGTTGTTATTGTTGATTGCCATTGAGTCAAGCACGGCTCCTAGCAACCCTAAGAACAAAAGACTTGAAGCCTTTCTATAACTATCATTGTTTCTCAAAGTTCATAGGATTTCCAGAGGCATGTTGTTTAGGAAGTAGAAGCCACTCCTGCTTCCAAACCTGTCTTAATCTGGGAGCTCCATCAAATACTGTCCACCATTATGGCATTTGACACTCAATGGCACAAGGTTCAGCATCACAGCAACGTCAGATTACCTCAGTACAGCAAATTGACAGAAGAGTACTGTACCACTTAGAAGAATGTTCCTTCACAATATAATAACAGCCAACTTTTAAATACAAAGGCCCTCCATGAGGTCTTGTTGACTCTAAAAATGAGAAACTGTTTCACGAATTTTTAATAGATAATAATTTTGTTTTATAGAAGGAATTTGAGCCTTTTTTTTATGAAGTGTGAGTTTTCACTGTGATCCAATTTCAAGGGTACTAGAATCAAAATAATTTTGACTTGGGAAATTTCATTCCTCTATATTTTCAGGTCTTCTTTGAGGCTTTATTCAAACAAAACCATCATTAAAGTACCTGTACTTACCCATCAGACTTTTTCTCACACTTGCTAACACATAATAAAAGTGACTCAGATTTTAGTCTGAGGCCAGGTTTTTCTCCTTTTTATCCTCTTTTGGGATTTTTTTTTTTTTCGTATTTTTTTGGTTGGGAGGTCAGTAGGTTGTGGGGAAGGATCCTATAAAAATTACCAAATTAGACAATTGGGAGAGGAGGAAACAATTTAATCTTTGAATTACAATTGAAATTAATATGCTGTTGTTGTTGTTATGTGCCGTCGAGTCATTTGCGACTCATAGCAACCCTATGCACAACAGCCCTAAACCCTGCTCTATCCTGCGCCAACCGCACTGCCTCCGACACACCCATCCCGATTACCCCAGTCACTGAATCAATCCATCTCATAGAGGGTCTTCCCCTCCTGCGCCGTCCCTCCACCCTCCCAAGCATGATGTCCCTCTCCAAGGACCCGTCCCTCCTGGCAACATGTCTAAAGTATGTCAGACGAAGCCCCAGAATCCTTGCCTCCAAGGAGTAGCTTGGTTTAATCCTCTCCAAGATGAATCAGTTTGTTTTCCTGGCAGTCCATGGTACATTCGGTACTCTTCTCCAGCACCACAGCTCAAAGGCATCAACTCTCCTGTCCTCCCTAGTCATTGTCCAACTCTCTGATGCATAAAAAGCGAAAGTGAATTTAATCTGTGCACTTCACTGCAGGACAGAGCTAAAAGATTGCTTCATGTGGTGAGCTCTGGTGGCCTAGTGGCAAGAAGCTGCACTGGAATCCCAGAGGTTCATAGTTTGAATCCACCAGATGCTCTGCTGGAGAAGGAGGGACATTCTCCTGTACCAGTCAGATCTGATTTGATAGTATACACACAAAAAAACCCAATAAAATAAAAAAGAAAAACGATTGTTTCATGTAACTAAATAGAAATTAATAGAATTTTGAGGGTAGTGCTTATATGCTTAAAGGTAGGGAGAAAAAAATTTCTCAATTCTTTTAACTATATGCTATACTTTTGCTTCCTTATCTATTTTATATTTGATGTGGAAAATACAAGAGACTGGGTTTCAGAGGCTGTGAATTCAAATCACTAGCTGAGTGGTTAACGAGAAACCATTCAACATTTCTATACCTTCATTTTCTCATCTCTAAAATGGGATCATAATACTTACTTTGGTCTGATTATATAAAATTATATGAATGGAATGAAATTTTAGATGATGAGCTTTTTATTTTGAGAGGCATACAAATAAATATTAGTTGTTTTTATTTTCTTGAAAGGTGTTGTGGGGTGCTGTCAAGTTACCTTCCCTTTCATAGCAACCCGATAAAAACCCTGCCTACTCTGACTGCTGCCCTGACAACCTCTGCTATGCCTGAGCCAACCTAGCTGGGCTAGATGTCAGTCCATCTAGCTGAGAGTCTTCCTTCTTTTCCAGGTGTGATGTCCTTTCAAGGGCTGGTTTCTCCTTATACAATGTCCAAAGTATATAAGATGAAGTTACAGTTGTTAGGTGTCATCAAGTCAAGTACACATCATAATGACCCTATGAATAACAGATCTTAACCTTGTCCTATCCTGTGCCATCCTCACAGTTTCTGACATACTTGAGCCCATTGTTGTAATCACTGTGTCAGTCAGTTCACTTATCTAAGGTCTTCCTCTCTTTCACAAGCCCTCTGCCTTTCTAAGCATGAATAGCCTCTCTATAACATGGCCAAAGTAAGTGAGAAGATTTATCACCTTTGCCTCCAAGGATCATTCTGGCTGCACCATCTCCAAGACATAGCTGTTTATTTAGTTGTTGTTGTTGTTATGTGCCGTCAAGTCGCCTGCGACTCATAGCGACCCTATGTACAACAGCCCTAAACTCCGCTCTGTCCTGTGCCAATCGCACTGACTCCGACACTCCCATCCCAATTATCCCAGTCACTGAATCAATCCACCTCATAGAGGGTCTTCCTCTCCTGCGCCGTCCCTCCACCCTCCCAAGCATGATGTCCCTTTCTGGGGACCGGTCTCTCCTCACAACATGTCCAAAGTATGTTAGACGGAGCCTCACCTTTCTCCAATACCACAGCTCAAAGGCATCAGATTTTCTTCTGTCATCCTTATTCATTGTCTAGCTCTTAGTAGCATGTCAAGTGATTGAAAAGACCATGGCCTGAATCCGGTACACCTGAGTCCTCAAACTGACATCATCGTTCCTCAGTAATTTGGAGAGGTCCCTGACTGTAGACTTTCCCAGTACAATATATCTCTTGATCTTCTGGCTGCTGCTGTCAAGGGTGTTGATTGTGGATCCAAGTAAGATAAAGCCGTTGACAGTTTCTTTATCATGATGATGCCTATCAGTCCACTGGAGAGAATTTTTTGTTTTCTTTACTTTGAGATCCAATTCGTATTGGAGGCTGCAGAATATAGGTAATAGATGAGTCTTCCTCTGACTTTGATGCCACGTTCTCTATATAGAGTCCAGCTTTTTAAATAATTTGCATGCATGCAGATTGAATAGGTATGGAGAAAGAATACAACCCTGACGTACACCTACCTTTCTTCATTTGAAACCGGTGTTGTTCCCTACTCTGTTCACACAGCAGCCTCTTGGTCTAGGTGTAGGTTTCACGTGAGCACAATTAAGTGCACTGGGATTCCCATTCTTCTCAGTGTTAGCCATAATTTGTTATTTACACAGTGAAATGACTGCTTGGTCAATAAAGCACAAATAGACATTCTTCTGGTCTTCTTTGCTTTCAGCTAGCTTAAAATAGCAGTACTGAAAATCACCCAATGAGCATTATTAGTAACCTGTTTCACAATATTAGTGATTTATTGCTTCAGTAAAACTAGTTGATTTATTTGCCCCAATGTTTTGTTCTCAGGCTTGCTATGAGTCATGGTTCACCCAACTGGCCCCGAACAACAACAAAGCAATTTAATTTTTGGCGTCTGCCCAGATTTTGTAGAGGGATTTTTCAACTAGATATATCTATATCT